TGCTTCATCGTGTATAAATTTGGTAGTACTTAGCAAGTTAAACTTCACGGAGGCGAAACTTGTGTGTTAGTTCACCACTTGGATCAAGGACTGAAACGAATCCTTTTCTCAGAGCACTTTGAGCTGAAGCTGTGACTTCTGAGGGCTACCCTACAGGGCAGGGTTGGGACCCGGCTCCACCACCCAGCCACCCCTCTGGACCCCTCGGCTCAGGAGCTATTTTGTGGAATTTCTAAGGTGAAGGATGTGGCCTGTTTTAAACACAGGCAGCTTTTAATTTTAAGAACAAATTTAGTCAGTAGGAGCTGAATAATGCAAGTCTGATTTGTAGTGGCTCAAGAAGCCGACTTGGGGTCCAGCCTTGGTGGTGTGAGCTAGGAGCTGAAATCAAGGCTGTTTTGTTTGTATTTTAATTGCTCTCATTTTATATCATTTATTCATCTATACTTCTCTTAGGCAATTTTTTGCTGAACCCATTTAAACTGCTCATTGGTCTGTTTTTGTTTTTGTTTTTTTTTGCGGTACGCGGGCCTCTCACTGTTGTGGCCTCTCCCATTGCGGAGCACAGGCTCCGGACGCGCAGGCTCAGTGGCCATGGCTCACGGGCCCAGCCGCTCCGCAGCATGTGGGATCTTCCCGGACCGGTGCACGAACCCGTGTCCCCTGCATCGGCAGGCGGACTCTCAACCACTGCGCCACCAGGGAAGCCCTCATTGGTCTGTTTGACACTTTCTTAACTTGTATTCCATTCTTTCTTATAGAAACAACACATGGTCAGGAGTTTTATCTTAGAACAGTACACGTGCTTTGCAGGCTCCCCATTTCTGCATGTGGGTCTGGGGCTGCCTGCTTCTGCCTCTGGTGAACGGAGCTGGATGGACAGTGTCTGCAGAAACACCTTCTGGCGTTGGGAGTGTGGGTTGTGGAGGTGGTCCCGCTCTCGCTGTGGCCCAGTTCTCTTCTCCGAGTGCAGATCCCTTTGGCGCTGCCCCTCATGTCCTCCCTTCCTTGACTTTCCTTCTGTTTGCTCCACTCCGTTGGGGCTCAGCAGATGCCCCTGCTCTCACTCTGGCCTCCTGCCCACTCATCCGGCCGACCTCCATTGTCAGTTCTTCCTGGGGCTCCTCCCTCACCCCCATGCCCCCATTCAGTATCCCTGGGCTTTTATGGCTTCAGAATATGAGATTGGGGGCTTTATCTTTGGTGGTCACCCACTCTACCATTGCTCTTCGGCCACTGGATGTTCCTGCGGGCGTCTGGTCCTCCACCACACGGGGGCGCCATTTCTTGGTGGCTGCAGTGATGCTGCTCATAATGGGCCTGTCTACCCCTGCAGTCTTGGCTACCCAGAGCCCTCACCTCTGCTCTCAGCGTGCGGGCCAAGTGTCCAGTCCACAGTTACCCACGGGTGCCCCACTGGAGGCTCCTCCACCTTCTCCTGCTGTGTGGGAGTGGGACAGACCCCGCCACTCCAGACCCCACCACCCCTCTGCTCCACCAGCCTTGGGGAATCCCTTTCTCTCTTCTAAGGGCCACCCCCCTCTGCCTCTAGACCAACTCCAGTTTCATTCCTTCCTTAAGTCCTACTTTTCCAAACCGTATCCCTGGTGGCTATTTTGTTTTTTCAGGTAGGCCCCAGAAACCCAAAGATGATCCTACCCTTTAGATCACCAACATTTGAGATCATTCAGAATGCGGTAGGGTAGCACCTTGAGACACAGACCCACCTCCTGCTCCTATTTCCCTTTCCCCCAATTCTTCCGTTCAGGCAGAAGGTGGACCCTGAGCTCATTGCCTCGGAGGGTTTGTGGCAGGATCGCCAGGCCGTTCAGTGATGCTGCAGCCTGCTGTGTGTTGATGGCCTTGGAGCCAGGGAGGGCTGCACCAATGTACAGCGACAGTCCCCTCTGTTAGAGTGACAATCCCCATGGTAGAAATGGGCTGTGCTCTAGAACAATTGTCAGCCACTTATTTGGAGTTGAGGATGCATTTCCCAGACTCCTCCAAAATTAAAAAAAAAAAAAAATTCTATCAATGTTGTCACTTAGCTGTTTTTTGTTGATTTTGCTTTTTTCCTTATGAGGGAAGCTTTTGTACACAGAAAACACAATTATGGCTACTGTAGATTCTTCCAGCACAAAAAGAATCTGGTCTAGAGGTGAGGAAACTTGAGAACTAGGTCATTTATACATGAATCTAGGGGAGTGGGATATGAGCCACCCCTGTTTGGAGGGCATACACTTGGAGTCCCTAATAACATTGGGACTATAGGAGAGCCCAGCTTTCCCTTTGGGGTCATGAGAAAAATCCCCTTCAGTGTCCAGAGCCCCAAAACTTTGGCTAATAAACAACCTCAGTCCACTGAGTTCACCCCAAATGTCTTGAAACAGTATAGTTTCCTTTTTGGGTAAGGGTCTTTTATTCCTAAGAAAACTTAAATATAGAGATGCTGAACCAGTCATCCCAATATTTTTGTGTGGTGTTTGGGAATTATCTTTGACTATGTGGTGTGTAAAGTACTTGAAATATTTAAGAGAATTTGGCATATTCGCGAATTTAATAAACTGAACTTGAGTATTTGATTTTAGTCTTGTAATTTTAAGTTAAAAGGTGTGGGAGGGTTTGGTTGAATATATAAATAGGTGGTTAAGATACCTTATGAGCCACAATATTCATGTTTGTTATATTTGTAAGAGTCACGTAAGTATGTAGGTAGGTTTTGTCAGACAAATGACAGAAAAGTTTATAAGTGAAATTGAAACATAGTAAATTTATAGTATATCACAAATTACTGTAGTATTATGTTATAGATTAATGTATTAAGTTTATAAATGCAATTTTAAATGCTTAGGGAGATTTAATTAAGTTTGCAAATGGGACGAAACAATCAAAAGCTTAAAAGTGGTTATAAATTTTGCTATAGAGTACTAAGTAGATTTGCATATTGATAGAGTATAGTAGAATAGTAAGATTTTAAAAAAATTGAAGTACAGTTGATTTACAGTGTTGTGTTAGTTTCAGGTGTATAGCACAGTGATTCTGTTATACATATATGTGTATATATGTATATATCTATTCTTTTTCAGATTCTTTTCCCTTGTAGATTATCACAGAATATTGAGCAGAGTTCCCTGTGCTATACAGTAGGTCCTTGTTGCTTATCTATTATACATATAGTAGTGTGTATATGTTAATCCCAAACTCCTAATTTATCCTCCCTGCCCTTTCCCCGAGTATAGTAAGAGTTTTAAGTTGAACTTATAAACTTCAGATTTTGTAGTTTGTATCTTTAGTTAATTCTGAGATCCTGGAATAATAACCTGGGAGGGGAGAGGGAAGAGCTTCCTTTCTTTCTTGGGTGGAGGCAAAATGTGCTCTACCTCCCTCTTTGCACCTGCTCCCAGGCCCTGGAGCTGTCTCCTGATGCCCTCTGCACCCTCCTCCTGCCCCAAGAACTCTCCCCACACCTGGTGGGAGTCTACCCAGGCACGGTCTTTTCCCCACAGTGATGAGCCTCTTCTCTCGGCCAGTCACACCTCCCACGCCCCCAGGACCCTTGATCTCAGTCAGAATTGAGGAGGTGGATAGGCAACGGGATGACTTTATCCTCGTTGGTGAGTGAGTGATGGCTGCTCAGACTCCTAGGGGTGTTACTAAAACTCAAAGGAGGACCTTACTAACCTGAATGAAACTCTAATAGGAATTTGAGTCACTGAGATAAAGTTGAGTGTAAACATTCAAAAGTCCCAGGTTGTGACTTGGGGAAGAGGGTACCACACCTGCTAGTCTGTTCCTATGGTGTGTATCTGGGCTTTGTCTAGCTTCTCTCAAGTGCTTCCCAATTTTCACAGTTTCTTCCACTTCTTTGCTTTTTTAAATTGAATATATTTGATATATAATGTTGTGTGAATTTAGGGTATACAACATGTTAATCTGATATATTTACATGTTGTAATGTGATTGCTGTTGCAGTGATATTTGGCGCCTCTATCATATTACCTAATTATCATTTCTTTTTAGTGGTTGGGATAATTTTTAGTCTCAGCAAGTTTGATGATTGTAGTACAATATTGTCGTGTATATTCACTGTATCGTGCATTGGCTCTCTATGACGTATTTACTTCTCATTGCAAGTTTGTACCCTTAAACAACAGCAGTCTTATCCCCTCACTCCCCATCCTCTGGCAACCACCATTTTACTCTGTTTTTCAAAAGTCTGACTTTTTTAGATTCCACATATAAGTGATATCACACAGTATTTGTCATTCTGTATCTGACTTACCTCAGCATACTATACTCAAGGTCCATCCATGTTGTTGCAAATGGCAGGAGATCCTCCTTTCTCATGCCTGAATAATATTCCATTGTGTGTGTATACTACATCTTTTTTTAAAAATCCATTCATCCATTGGGCATTTAGGTTGTTTCCATATCTTGGCTATTGTGAATAATGCTGCAATAAACATGGGAGTGGATGTATTGCTTTGCAATCCTATTTTCATTTCTTTTGGTATGGTATATACTGATCTTATGGTAGATCTATTTTTAATTTTATGAGGAAACTCCATACTGTTTTCCACAGTGGCTGGACCAATTTACATTCAGACAGTGTATAAGGGTTCTCTTTTCAACACCTCCTCGCCAGCACTTGTTGTCTCTTGTCTTCTTGATGATAGCCATTCTAATAGATGAGATGAATCCCATTGTTTTTTTTTGTTTGTCTTTTTGCGGTACGCGGGCCTCTCACTGTTGTGGCCTCTCCCGTTGCGGAGCACGGGCTCCGGACGTGCAGGCTCAGCGGCCATGGCTCACGGGCCCAGCCGCTCCGCGGCATGTGGGATCCTCCTGGACCGGGGCACGAACCCGCGTCCCCTGCATCGGCAGGTGGACTCTCAACCACTGCGCCACTAGGGAAGCCCCCCCTCCCATTGTGGTTTTGATTTCCATTTCCCTGATGCTTAGTGATGGTGAGCATCTTTTCATGTGCCTGTTGGCCATTTTGATGTCTTCTTTGGAAAACTGTTTAGTTCTCTGTCCATCTAAAAATTGGATTGTTTTTTGTTATTGAGTTGTATGGGTTTTTAAAAATATATATTTCAGTTTGGCATGTACTTCAGTGATTAGAATGAAATCCCCCAAGAACAGTATCTGTAGCCTTCCTCACATATTGCTAGTAAAGTGCCAAGGACTCCAGAGAAAGCGCACTAAAATTTTGTAGTATGAAATACCTTTTATACCTATAAAGGTATGACGTAACTCTACCATAGAGTGGGTGTGGACCATAGAGAGCTCCTGGAGGCCCTCGGGGCTCAGGAAATAACCTTTCAGTGGGATACAAAAAGCAAGGAAAGCGGGGAAGACTGAGAGATGACAATCTCCAACCATATGAATTTACTTCTCCTTCCTGGGCTTTTTGGAATTGGGAAAGATTTGTAGATGTGGAACCACAGGTGTCACAACAATATGGCCCAGAGATCCTGGGAAGGCAGCTCCTGTAGCAGGATCTGCCTGCGAGACTAGATTCCCTCTGTGTCAGCAGAGGGAAGAATTGGTAGACAGGTCTAAGTTCTGTCCACTCACTGAAGACCCTGATTGAAGGTCTAAGTCCTGACTTTTGAGGCAACCTCCATCTGTAGGCTTTACATGTGAGAGGTGGCCCGAAATCCTGCACATCTCATATTGGTCATGCATATGCCACTGTGTTTTCTGACTACTGAAATATAATAAAACAGTGGTCACAGTGTTTACCCTTTATTTATGATTTAAAATATTTCCAGGAATTTTAGAATTTGGAGAATATATTACTGCCCAGCAATATTCCTTGAAACAAAAATCTAAGGGAATTTATAAAAATTTGCCTGGATCTTTGCCTAACAAATGCAATGGGAGAAAGGCTAGTGCAAAAATCAGGCAAGTTTCTGTCCCATACACACAGAGAGGCTGCCGATACCACCGCACATAGAGTGTATGTTGTGAGCAGCTTTCTGAGTTGCAGGAGGGCTTATATGATCCATATACGCTATTGTCCTTATTACTTAAGAGGCATTCGTGCATCCAGCCAGCCAGAAATTTACTGGATATCTACTCCATGTCGGGCACTCAGATTATACAGATTGTTGTTAAGACATGGTCCTTTATTCTCAATTAGCTGATATTCCACTAGAGGGAGCCAAATATATAAATAAGCACAATAACCGTGTTGAAAGTGCTGGCATCGGAGTCTGGGCAGAAGGTGTGTGTGTGAGGTGGGGAGGGTAACAGAAGGAACTGGACAAATCTGCCCCAGGATGGGTCAGGAAAAGTCTTCATAGGAAAGGTGTCCCTGAGCAGTGTTTCTGAGGCTTCTTACCCAGAATAAGGAGGCTGCTGAGGTGAGCACGGAACTGTGAGGCTTCTGTGTGAAGCTAACTGGAGAGACGGAAGATGAGACCTCTGGCCTGAGCCTTTTGACTGTTGCACGTGGACACCACAGAGAACGGCACACACATCATCAAAGCCTGAGCCACGTGCAAGTGATGTCTGGGTAACACAGTTTTTAGAAATTCTCTTCTTTATTGCTACATTCATATAAAAAGTTTGGTATATTTGGGTGGGCAAAAGAAAGCCACAGTGTATATAAAGAAAGTTGTAGGAGGTTAAAAAAATATGTGGTTTCAGTGTTTGGAAAAGCAGTCACGGATTGTTTCTTTGGTTTAGTTATCCAGGCGATCGAAATTCTGGGTTTGAAATTCTTGGAAGTCCTCTGGGATGGTGTCTGCAAAGGAGAACAGGCACAGGGGGATTAGGAAGGCTCCCTCCAGCCCACATCCTGGTGCATCTCACGCTGGGAGGCATCCTGTAGGGGTTGCTGTCAGCCCACCCAGCAGGCCCCCAAAGACACCACTTCACGCCACACCCCCTGGCAGCCATTTTCTACCGCCGTTGCTTTGCAAATTGTTGGCTTAAAGTCCAGGAATGCTCATTCACAGGCCTAAAGAAAAAATGGATTTTGAGTTTATGATTCTGTGTGAGCTGTATGAAAATGAAGGCTGCCTGTCAATTAAACCTGCCTGAATCTCTCACTGAACCCACGTTCTAAGCCAAGCAGTTTAATTCTCTGGGGCTCAATTTCCTCATCTATCAAATAGGAGAAATGAGATCTACCTTTTACTTGGATGACACAGGGATTCTCAGGTTTCGGGAATATGTGGCGTGAGCTTGTGGCTTCTGGAAGGGATGTGTGCTATACGATAGGGTGGCATTATTGGATTTTTTTTCTAGTAGTAATAGTATGCAGCGACAAGAATGTACGTTACCATTGCAGCGATATTTGAGGTTGGACCAAATGATGTTTTCCTGGGAGAAGCAGAACACGCCGAGCCGGCCTCCACGCATGGTGGTGTCTATGGTGACCCCCGAGTCGGCCACCAACTCGGAGCCTTCATAAAACTGCACCCTGCGGACAACACAGCCAGAGCGGGTCTCCGTGAGTAGGTCTCCAACCAAGGTTGGGGGAAGCGCCTGTCGTAAGACCTAGGGGTCCCACTTCTTATCCACCTGCATCTTTGCTCTGTTTCATACTCCACTTTTCACAGACCTGGATCGTGCTCCCGCTGCTGTGTTCCCCTTTCCCTACGAGACTGGAACCTCCATGAGGTCAGGGACCACCCGTCCACATCTCCCCTCTTCCGTCTCTCCAAAGGCCTAGCATGATGCTGGGCACCGAGTTCAACTCGCTGGGTACTCGCTGATGAGTTAAAGAGAAATCACAATACGACTCAGGACCAAGAGGCTTTCTGACTTCACTGTCCAGTGAGTTACCTTGTCCAGACCTCATGCTTGAAAACCACTGCTTTTCTCTAGGTCGAACTGATAACATTTGGTGGAATCCCAGAGCAATGATTCTCCTCGGGAGGGACGGCACTCCCTAAGCAGGGTTTGAGACATTTGTGGGAGCATTTTGAGCTGTCACCGTGGCATTTAGTGACAGAGGCCAGTGGTGCTGGGTAGCTTACAAGGCCCTGGAGAGGAAAATCAAAACTTGTCCTGCATCCAGACACTTTTGGGGTGCTCCTCCAGACCCGTGGGTAGGTGAAGAGACTGTTTATCTGGGCTTAGAACCTAACTCTCTCTCTCACTTGTGAACATCAAGTAGTTTTTGCGCTGGTATTAACTGATTTTCCAGGGTAAATTGAGAAACTGAGTACAGTCGACCCTGAAACAACATAGGCTTGAACTGCATGCGTCCACTTATATGTGGATTTTTTCCAAATACTACTTTACTATGTGATCTACAGGTGGTTGACTCTGCAGATACTGAGCCGCTGATACGGAAGGCCGACTGTGGGACTGGAGCATCTGCAGATCTTTATCCCTGGCGGGGTCCTGGAACTGATCCCCTGAATTGCTCAAAGGTCAGCTCTACTTTGTTAACAATTAAGCTGTTTACTATTTACTTATTTTATTGGAGTATAGTTGACTTACAATGTTGTGTTACTTTCTGCTGTACAGCAAAGTGAACCAGTTATACATCTACATATATCCACTGTTTTAGATTCTATTCCCACATGGGCCATTACAGAATATTGAGTTCCCTGTGCTATACAGTAGGTCCTTATTAGTTATGCATTTTATGTAGAGTAGTGTGTATATGTCAATCCCAACCTCCTAATTTTTCCCTTCCCCGCCCCCCATAACCACAGATTGTTTTCTACATCTGTGACTCGACTTCTGTTTTGTAAATCAGTTCATTTGTACCTTTTAGGTTCCACATGTAAGCGATGTCATACAATATTTGTCCTTCTCTGTAGCTGTTCACCATTTTAGAAAGTCACATTACCACTGTCGTGTCTACAACACACCAATCTGTGGTAGGACATCGCCTCTGCCGTGATTCTAGGCACAGGTGCCAGTGTCTGTCTCATTTTGTGTTGGGTGTGGTTGTGTCCAAGCATTTACATGATTTTGTTATAAATTATTTCTCTATTAGGGATCAGATTGACTCTCTAAAATAACATGTGCAGGTAGGTTATATTTTCTATGATTTCATTTTGGGACACAGAGGGGGCATCTCAAAATATGTCATAAAAAAGGGGCATTAAGCTTAATAGGGCTGAGAACATGATCATCTTACTGTGAGACAGATTACATTTGATGTAATGGCTCAAAGAAGGACAAAATATGAACTAGCCCTCATGATTCGCTTTTTTCCCACTCAGCAGCTTCCTTGCCCCCGGTCAGCAGAAAGCAATCAGCACCCTTCCTAAAAGTGCTACATAAGCTGGCAGGGGTGTTGATCTGTAAGTTTGAGGAATGAGAGAGAAAAGTACACCGACTAAATTTCAAAGATGTAGTGCTAAGGCATCCTAGCTTCTGAGAACAGTTGTTTGTTTTTTAAATAGTCCTACAGGGAAATAAGGCAGATTACATCGGCTCACATGAAGGTCAGTTCATGCCGAGGGTGGGACGTGCCGTCACTGTGTCAGGCACTGGGGAGACCAAGATAAAATGAGACATGGGTGCTGCCCTCGTGGAGTTTATCAGGCCGTGAGGGACTCACTGCAGCGTGAAATGTTTGTGGGTAAGTGATGATACAGGGCCCAGAGGGACCACATGGGGATGCGGATGGGAGAGTCAGTGCACGTCTCACCTCACACGGGTCAGCGTGGCATCACCGTTCTGGTGCCCCGGTGCCAAGGCCTCCCCCACAGAAGGTCCTTCTACCCCCAGTTTGGCCCTACCATCCAGGCGGTCAGTCTGAGCCGGGTGTCGTCCTCCCACCTCTTTTCTGGGAGCCTGAGGTCCCAGCACGTCCTCGGGGACCCTCGGCTCAGGGAAGCGGAGGCTCCGCGATGCAGGAGGAGGATGCGCTTTCCTTCAAGTGCACGGGGAGGAGGGGGCGCTGCACCTACCTGATGTAGCCCACCTGGGGCCGGTGCTGCAGGAACCAGCGGTAGGACACCTTGTCCTTCCAGCCCACGTTCCTGGAGTCCTTCCACAGCAGCCTGACCTGGTCGCTAGTGTCCCCGGTGTGCCACAGGGAGTTGCGGAGATGCTCCCCCGGACCCGTCTTAGACTTAACGGCCTGGACAACGACACGAGTGAGGTCTTAGAACAGAACGCACAGACCACCCTTCCCGCACCCTCCATCCCTGGGGTGGTGACGGGGTGGGAATTCACGGTTACAATCTGGTGGCTTTGGATCTGGACACAAAGCATCAACACTTAAGTGCCATTTCTACTGCGATGCTCCCCCAGCCTTTCAGTAATCCGCACTGGCCAGTATTCCACTAACCCAGCCCATGTTTTTCCTGCTGAAAATCCATTGCTCCCCACATTTGGCCAATGAGGGCTCTGAAGTCTGCCTTTCCTCCCAGCAGGAGTGACAGAGGTAGCCTCCCAGCCCTCCTGTACAAAGCTGGCCCCATCGAGGAAACACGATACCAGTTCCCAGAAGAGTGTGCCTGAAGCTGCACCCCAAATCCTCCCCCCGTCTTGGGCCCCTACTGGGGGGCTGACATTCTCACCATCAGTCACCCAGAGGGAAGCACGTAGCTTGTACGCAGGAGTGAAGGCAAGGCCCTGGATGGGCTCCAGTGTTCCCTAACTTGAATGCTGGCACGAATGCATCAGTTCCTTAGATGGATAAATGCCATATGGGAGAACACAGAATTTAAAAGGTGGGTGAAGGGCCCAGAGGAAAGGGAGATGAGTACCTTGAGCTGAATGCCAGGTTCTGCAACAGCTCGGAACGGGGTGGCCTGCCAGTACGTCTGCTCCGTCTGCTTCCACATGACCACATAGAAGCTGGAACTGTCTTGGTAACCAAAGATAAAGCCAGCATAGTCATCGTCCGTCTGGGTGTTGACGTGGAAGGTCCCTTCGAAGTCCACTCCATTAAAAGCCGTGTACCCTGTAACGATCAAAATAGATGAGAAAAACAGACAAGCCACACCAGCTCGAAAGAGTGAATTCTGTACCAGTGGTGACGAGGCCCTGGACGTACCCACTGCCAGGCCTGGATCGCTGTTCATGGTCTGCACGATCTCCATGCCCTGCAGAGAGAGTTGAAGGGGTTAAGATTAACCGTGGAGGGGGTAGAATAATCTCAGAGAAGCCCAGAACCTCAGACCTCCATGGAAAGAGTTCATTATCTGAGGAACTGTTCTCCCTTGTTATGTGCTCAAAGAAAGCGTACCCTTAGAAAAAAACAAAAACCCTCAAAGCTAAGTAGAAATAGTTTTGCTAAAACTGTCACTTAAGCTGAGCCAATAAACCCTTAATTAGAGAACATATGCTTCTAATGAATGTGACCTCCTGGGTGACACTGGAAAACCTACGAAGGCTCTCTGTGCCTGTCTTCTTTAGGTCCACAGGGAGGAGGACACACCGGAGCATCTACTGCAGAGATTAGAAGCATGGCTCTAGGGTCAGACTGCCTAGGTCCCAAATCCAGCAATCTTAGCTGCTTAACTGCAGTGCTACCATGAGTAATCATTCAAGCTTTGTAACACTTGAGCTCATCATCTGTAAAACGAGGCTAATGAAAGAGCTCCGTCACAGGGCTGTTGAGAGGAACAAACACGACGTGGAACAGTACCTGGCTGGAGGTCGGCACCCTCAAAATTTACCCACTACTCTCAGAAGGGCCTGTGTTGAGAGGCAACGCTGAGCCGGTGCCGACCGCATGACCCTCACCTTGTTCAGGACCACCCAATTGGGATCGATCTGGGCGTCCCCTTCAGGGTCCAGGACCACCGTCTGATAGGCCCTGAAGTCGGTCAGGGTGACCTCTGCGTTCTCCGGGCACACGTCGATCCGATCGATGACCTGGTCGTGGTCGAAGTCTGTCTCGCAGATGTCCCCCACGCCGTCGCCTGTGGGGGTGGAGGAGGAGGGGACCAGTTCAGTAATGCCTACTACCCCCAAGCCACCCGCTCCGTGACAGAGGGGGCTGGGCAAGGAGCAGAGAGAGCCCAAGACCCAGCTCCACGTGGAGCGAGGAGTCCTGGAATCAGGCGTGTCTGAGCCGGCCCCGCGGTCCTCGTGGTGGGTTGGTGAACCCCACTGCAGGTGAGTGAACCCCACTGCAGGTGATCAAAAGGACTTCCTAGGGACAGAGTGGAGGGCAACTGTCCAAAAATGACCTGACAAGGGACTTCCCTGGTGGTCCCGTGGTTAAGACTACATCTTCCAATGCAGGGCATGCGGGTTCGATCCCTGGATGGGGAGCTAGGATCCCACATGCCTCGCAGCCAAAAAACCAAAACAAAAAACAGAAGCAATATTGTAACAAATTCAATAAAGACTTTAAAAATGGTCCACATCAAAAAAAAAAAAAAAACTTAAAAAAAAAGTACACTTCAAAGTTGACCTGACAGGAAACCCTGGCTGTCCTCTAGGACAGGGGTTTCACCAACTGGTGGATCTTTTTTTTGCGGCACACGGGCCTCCCACTGTTGTGGCCTCTCCCGTCGCGGAGCACAGGCTCCGGATGCGCAGGCTCAGCAGCCATGGCTCACGGGCCCAGCCGCTCCGCGGCATGTGGGATCTTCCGGGACTGGGGCACAAACCCGTGTCCCCTGCATCGGCAGGCGGACACTCAACCGCTGCGCCACCAGGGAAGCCCCAACTGGTGGATCTTAAGCCTGACTTTACGTAAGCAAATGTCTACAGTACTTTCTGGACTATGACGCATAAAAAGCAGGGAAATTATGGTCACCAAAATCTAAGAAGAATTTACAGCGATCCTTAGGCTGAATATAGCCCAGTGTCTTTTGTCCAGCTGACAGATGGTATTAAAATTTGAATTTGCATACTGGGATGGGCATGCCCTCACCAACGCACCACCATGTGTCCTCACCACTCTGCTGTCTCATTTCTGGCTCTGTGCATACCTTTCCTTAACAGCTTGGCCCCTGCAGGCATCACGCAGCGCTGCGGTGCCCTCCCCTCCATCCCGCTCCTGCCCTGTGACTCTGGCGAAAGGCACGAGCAAGATGGTGGAGCAGCTCTCCAAGCCCCGAGCAGCACGTGGCTGCTTCCCTGCCCTGTGTGGTCTCATCCGAGGGCTGTGCAGAAGCAGCTCTTCTCTGACAGTTGGAGACTGGTGTCTAGCAGATGTCGACTGTCCACGCAAGCTGTGGCTGCTCAGAGAAGCTGGGGCCCTGGCAGAGGGGGGCCACCATGGGCCTGGCTGAAGGGAGCCTGGGGCTGAGCCCACTTACTGTTGCTGTCCTCCTGGGCAGGGTTGGGGACCAGCCGGCAGTTGTCTGGTCCAGGGGGCACCAGGTCTGGGATGCCGTCATTGTCATCGTCATCATCACACTCGTCACCAATTCCATCCTTATCAGTGTCCAGCTGGGCACTGTTTATGACAGTGGGGCAGTTGTCTGTACTGTCCTGGTGCCCGTCTCCATCACTGTGGGAGAAAGGAGAGGGGGTTTGTGTCCCAGTTCAGCAGAGGACACGAAGAGTCCAGTTCTCAGGAGGGAGAGTTTGGGTGTGGGGTCTTAACCAGGCTTGGTCTTTTATCACCCCCACAGGTCCTTAGATGAGGCTGCCTTATGGGCCTCAGAGACCATTTCCCACTTCTCCAACCTGTTGAAACAAGTAGATCATTTTCTATTCAAAATAAGGGCCTATTTCTGTGATTTGGTGACCAGATGCTCCTTTCAGTCCCCGGGCACGACTGTGACCCACGACAGAGAAAGTGGGAGGGGAACAAAGTGAGGGGCAGTGGACTCACTGCCCGCTGCGAGTCCTGGCTCAGCTGCGCACCAGCATGGGGCCCCGGACGTGACACTTACCCCTCTACGGCTCAGCATCCTCCCCTGTACCATGGGAATAATAACAGCCTACCTCACAGGGTTGTTGGGAAGATTGAATGATTAAGTGATTAGAATTTTGCATGTTACGTTTTAATATAAGAAAAACACTTCTAAGTGCCTGGCTCTTGGGAAGCCCTAAGATGTTTCCTTTTCCATGACTCTTCACCATGCCCGGCCAGTAAGCCTGAGAAGCGTCAGACGGGAATGCACAGGGAGAAGGGCAGGAACAGCAGGGCCGCCCTTCCCAAGAACTGAGCACGTAGGCCGGGCTCGGCCCTGGGCTAACGTACTTCTCAGAACCCTCGTTCTCTGCCCACCTGACATTCCTTCTTTCCAGGCCTAACGGCCACCTGAGGATGAGTCTGCCCTGTCCCCAGGCTTCCCTGAGTTGATGGAGGCCTCCCCACGGCTACCCTGGATTAGAGCAGATACTCCTTTCACGGGCGCCACCCACAGCTCGTCCTGGACCAGCAACTGCTCCACGCTGTCCACAGTGGGACAAGGAAGGGAAGCCAGGGGCCAGTCCATGCCCTTCAGGCCAATGCTTCCCAGATGGGTCCCAGAGAAAGTGAGGTCAACCCCGACAGGCAGAAGGTGACACAACTCCAACAGTGGAATTCCTGGGCATGTGGCAGGGCTGCTTTCCAAATCATAAGATTGAGCTATTTCCATTAGCAGCCATTCCATATAGCCCTGAACATTTTTATGCAAAACCAAGCAGTTTCTGTCCTCAAGTTTGTGGGAATTAAAATGTAGTGGAATGAGTTATTTTAGGCAGAAAATCTAGAGGCTGGTGGGACAGGATATTTTAGAAATCACTTAGATGGCACTGAGAGCACAGGATGACCTACAACAGGGAACATTCTTGATGTACATTATCGAGGGAAGTTGTCAGGGTACCAGCCGCATCTTAACCTCAAAAACGGAGACATCCTATGTCAAACTGTCTCTGACTTGCCTCTCCTTTCCTCATGCTGTGATAACACTCATACCTCAGTTACCATTTTCTGCAGGTTATCTGAGGGCCAGCACTGTAGGTGGGAGCTTTACCTACATTATCTTTCTTTTTTACCATCACTTGGCATTTAATTCTCTCTACTTTGCAGATGAAGAAATTGAGACTCAGAGACTGAGAAGTCTGTTGACGTTCACTTAGCTGGCATGTACTGTGCATCAAGGACACGGAGCACAAGGACTTGATAGGAGCTGTCCTTGAGCAAGGTTGGGCTTGGGAGCTGCTGCCTGTAGGGAAGCCTCTGAGAAGAGGTTGAGAAGGGCAGCTATGTTTCTTCCTGCTTTGCCTTTTAGACTCCTTTCCCTCTCTCACCCCTGTCCTGCTGCCCCTATGATTCCCTACAGAGATGAAAGGGTTTAGAGTCTTGGACGGCAGGTACCTCTAGGGCAGAGCTGGCCATGCCTACATTTTTGATGTTCCTATAGCATCTGATCCAGCCCCGTGTCTTAACGTAGGACTCCATCCATGTGGGGCTAGAAGGGCTGACAACATTCATTTGCATAGAACAACTCCACCCAAATAAAGAAAACTGAAAGAAAAAATTCCAAGGACAATGAAATAACAGTGATTCCCTCAGCACACTGACAGCTCTCTATTTTGGGATGATGATGAAGCTTTCCTGAGCTGAAACAATATAACAGCAAAAGAGCTAACATCGATGCAACAGAAACTGTAATATGTCCTTTCCATAAATTAACTCAACTTGCACAATAGTCCTAAGAGCTACATTCCATTTCCATCTCCATTTTACAGATGAGAAAATGGAGGCACAGAGAGATGAGGTAACTTGCCTAAGGTAAGCTGCTGTGTAAGTGGAGGAGCTGGGATTTATATCTAGCTGTGTCGCTCCAGAGCCCATCTCTAACGCATGATGCTACACCGCCCCTCCTGTGATAGAGTCTCAGTTGCTTGAGTGCCTAGTGGCCCCTCCTGGTACCGTCAAGTCCCCCATTCATGGAGGTGCAGTGACCCTGACCAAAGACAGGGCTATGGTCCCTCCAGCAACTCAATCTGCCCAGAGAGATTCCAAAGCATGGCAGCAACGGAGAGCTCTGAAAGAGAAAACTTCCTCTGGAATTTTCATCAGCCCTATGCAGCTGGGAAACATGCCATACCTGTCCTGATTGGTGTCACAGGAGTCCCCAACCAGATCGTTATCCACATCAGACTGCAAAGAGAACAAAACGTGTCATTTACCCCTGGGCCTGCACAGAATGTTCCAGAGAAGGCAGACCCAGCCCATCATCACTGGATCTCAGGAATTATTCCTCTGGAATTGGGGTGGTGCAAACTGCAAAAGGACAACACCATATTGGTGTAGGCACAATGCTGAAGTTTCAAAAAAGCCTTCCAAAATATCAAGCTCCAAGGATGGGCTGCCTACACACCAGATGAGCTGATTGGAGAAGGGCGCTGGGGCAGCGTGGTGGCAGGTGGAGACGTGGCACTCTGGCACGGGTCGGAAGGGAGCCAGCCACAGGCACGGGGACAAGGCAAACAGATTTTGCTTTGCTTCTGCATTTTGGAATTGAGCCAGGATGGGAGTGAGTCAGAGGGCAATAATGACGCCCCTCTCTCAGGGCTTTAAAAATAAGTGACACATCATATCCAAGTATCCAGACAGGAAGGAGGAGAGAGAAGGCAAACAGCACATCGCTGACTGATCCCAATCTGAAATGTCCATACATAGGCTGTTGTTGGGATTTGGGGATGAAAGGGACATGAGGCTCCCCATGGTTAATTTCCACATTGCATTTTCCTTTCAGCCAAAAAAAAAAACAACTTGTTTTGGGCATCATTAAACTATTACTGGGACTTCCCCGGTGGTCCAGCAGTTAAGACTGTGTGCTCCCAATGCAGGGAGCCCGGGTTCGATCCCTGGTCAGGGAACTAGATCCTGCATGCCACAACTAAAGATCCCGCACACAGCAACGAAGAGCCCACGTGCTGCAACTAAGACCCGGCGCAGCCAGATAAATTTTAAGAAACCCCAAAAACTCCTATTCCTAACCTCACAGGGACTTCACAGCCTGTGAGATTAGTCCCGAAGGCCTCAGATCTCCTGTAATGTTCTTCCCATCACCTCCAGGCTTAAGTATACAATTTCACCACCTCTGCTGTTAGGTATAAGGCAACAGCAAAGAACTGGGCTGGCGGGCTCGGCTGGGTTCTTCCAGACACGTGTCTTACGTGAGTCTCTGCATTGGGCAGTTCAGCCTAGAGTTTGGATGCCCCTGGATCCTACTAACCTGGTTAGGGTTGCTGACATCAGGACAGCTGTCACAGGCATCCCCCACGCCATCACCATCTTTGTCCTGTTGATCACGGTTGGGAACTTTCTGGCAGTTGTCCAGGATGTTTTTTATTCCTATGAGAAAGGAATGCTTCCCTGAGTCAGGTGAACATCACAGAAAGGTCTGGAGCACAGACTTCCAGGTGCCGTAGAGATCAGGCCAGCACATGGCACACAGTAGGTAATGTCTGCCTGGGCCATCCTCAGAGAACCATACCTATTCCAGCAGTTACCTGGAGGTAATGTCAAAGGATGGATTCTGGGAGACTTAAAAGAAGAACGACCTGAGGCATTTATCCATTGAGTTAGAATTTGTTGAAGATATCAAGGGCTATCACTGCAACCAGATGAGGGGGTCATGAGGGCTAGGTGGGCCGACCCTGGAGAGGGAGGACCTCACGGGTGTGTGAGCTATGACAAGGGCCCCGGGGCTCAGGCAGTGGTGTGCTGGAGTCAGGCCAGTCATACCCATTCTCCCCAGCTTCCCGTTCAATCATGTCATCTCCTCTTAGTACCTTGGAACCAGTGATGGTGGGAGTGGTATTTACATAATGGAAACCGGCAAATGCTACAACTCGGTGCGTTTTTTGTTTGTTTCGCTGAGCGGGTTTACCATCAGTCAGGCTTATAGAAGGTGGGATCGTGCTTTAGAGACATGGGAATAGTCTGGAGTGCCGGGTGTGTGTTGGTTAGTGGTGGGTGTAGTGTATTTCTAAAAGGAAATTCCTTCAAGGTCCTGTGTTGTGATGTGTTTTTCAGAAACTATCGGATCCAGCCTATACTTTGATGATAGTCACCTATATGTTCCGGAAGCTATACAGGAACAAACGTCCTCCCTCACGGCCTGTGAGGCTCCAGAGTTGTGCTCCAGAGGTGCTATGCACACAGACCACAATACGAGGCCCCTTCAGTGGCCCCTGAAGCTGGGTGATGTAGCCGCCCTGCCTGACAGCTCTTCCCAGGCTCCTGGGAAATGCCCGAGTCTCTGCGGGAGGAGCCTGACCCAGAGCTGCAGCCCATGACCCTGCTCAGCCCTTCTACCTCAATCCTCCACTTCCAGGACGCTTATGCATGAGAAGGATGGTGGGGAGGGAGGAAAGCTGCAGTCTGGGAAGACAGATGCCCTACAGAGTCACATCCCTGACAAGACACTGCTCGAAGGGATTCCTGCAAAGTTTCTGGCAATGATATCGAGTTCCCAGAACACCAGGGTTCTTCTTCCACAGAAACAAGTGGGCCTTGGGGCCACCAGGCACAGGCCATGTGGAACCCCCTGGAGCGGAAAGGCCCTCAGAGTCAGTCATTCTATTCCTGCTCCTAAGAGAGAACAAGGGGAAAAAGGACAAATGAGTCCCAAGTAAAAGACTAAGCAAGACACACCCACCATCTCCATCCATGTCGTCATCGCAGGCATCTCCTTTTCCATCCCCGTCAGTGTCCTTCTGGTCATTATTTAGGACATTCCGGCAGTTATCACAGGCATCCCCAAACATATCTTTGTCACTGTTCCTCTGGTCCACATTGTGAGTCAGGACACAGTTGTCCTAAAGGATCAAAAGACCGACATTAACTCTGACTTTTACTGAATCCCCACTGTGTGCCTGGTCCTGCGGTGGATGCCACCCAACCTTCCCCTGACTGGCATGAGATGTCGCAACTCAGGAGGCCCAAGTTCATCAGTTTTATAAACATTTCATAATCTTAGAATAAAAAACTGCAGTGCCATGGGAACGCAGGCATGGAAACAGACAATCGGGATGATTAATATAAATAGTTGACTTCATGGCCTTTCTTCCACCATCCCTGGTACGTGGCAATTCAAAGGCCCTCCCAGCAGAGCAGGTACTTACCTGCTCATTCAGGATCCCGTCTCCATCAGCATCCTCGTCACAAGCATCTCCAAGGCCATCTCCGTCTGCATCCTCTTGGCCGGAATTTGGCACATACTTGCAGTTGTCCTAAGTTGGAGAAACACAGCTCAGAGACACATCTACATTTGTATTTTTTCAGCTTTATTGAGGTACAACTGACAAATAAAATTGCAAGACATTTAAAGTGTATAATGTGACGATTTGATATACGTTGATATTGTGAAGGGATTCCCCCATTGAGTTAATTAACATATGCATCACCTCACATGTTTATCTCCCCATTTTTTTTGCTGAGAACATTTAAGTTCTACACTCTTAGCAAATTTCAACTATACAGTACAGTGTTATCAACTATAGTCACCATGTTATACGTTAGATCCTCAGATCTTATTCACCTCATGGCAGAAAGTTTGCACCCTTTCATCAACTTCTCCCCATTTCCCCCATCCCCATCTCCATCTGTCTTAAGTCAAAAACTATTTCTGCCTGTACCTGTCTGGCTTTTTTTTTTTTAAATAAATTTATTTATTTTTGGCTGCGTTGGGTCTTCATTGCTGCGTGCTTTCTCTAGTTGTGGTGAGCGGGGGCTACTCTTTGTTGCGGAGTAGGGCTCTAGGCACACGGGCTCACGGGCTTCAGTAGTTGTGGCACGTGGGCTCAGCAGTTGTGGCTCACGGGCTCTAGAGTGCAGGCTCAGTAGTTGTGGTGCACGGGCTTAGTTGCTCCACGGCATGCGGGATCTTCCCAGACTAGGGCTCGAACCTGTGTCTCCGCCTGCATTGGCAGGCGGATTCTTAACCACTGTGCCACCAGGGAAGTCCCTACCTGTCTGGCTTTACTGTTGATGGCTGTTTTGCTACATTTGAGATGCAGCTACTTCAAAAATACAGTTTTAAATGGAAGCCACAGAACCTCTGCCCCATATAAGATGTGGCTTTGGAAAGCCACAGAGTGCGTGTGCGTGCGTGTGCGTGTTTTTTTCTCCTGCTCGACCCCCTTACCTTTTTGCAGTTGCTGGCAGAGCACAGCAATTCTTCGTCGGGGTAGCTGTCAATGTCCACGTCCTTTCCGCAGATGTAGCCGTCACCAGCCCAGCCAACCCCACACTGTGAAGGAAAAACCCGTCAGGAGTCCAGGAGCTGAGCCTGGTGGGAGGCCAGGGTCCGACAGGGGCCTCTGCTCCTGTGTGTGCATCCCCAGAGGGAGGGCCAGAAAGCTTTGTTCGCAGGATTTTAAAACTATTAAACTGTGTTTTGAATAGTCTACTGCTTCAAAATTCAAAAAGTACAAAGGGAGAGTGAAAACTCCTTCCTGCTCTTGCACCTTGGCTCAGGAATCAAGGCAATCTGCTCTCATGAATACTTTCAGAGACATGCTGGGCAGAGATCAGCAAACACACATACGTTCTTTTTCTCTTTTTGTGGTTCAGCACAATTGGTAGCACACATATGAACACTGCTCTGTACCTTGAATTTTTAAAAAATCAACATTATATCTTAGAGCTCTTTTCATATTACCACACGTAGATTAGTGTCTTCCTTTCTAATGGGCACAGAGATAACATACATAAAGTGGAATGCATGCACCTCAATGAATTCAACCAGTCCCCTATGGTCGGTGTCAAGTCGTTAAAACCTTTTTCTGTCGCAAACAATGCTGCCACAAAGAATCTGAGGACGTTTATCATTCTGCACATGTACTGGCTTCTTAGCATGAAATTCTTGGTTCAAAGGGTATTTGTACTTTTGAATTATCGTCAAAATGTTCTCCATATGATTATCCAGTTTCTTCTCCCAATGGAAATGGATGCACACAAGGGTGGAGCGGCCGCTGTGGCACCTTCCTTAGCATTCTGGAGCCACAGTCGTGTCTCTGAACCTAATGGTCTTCTAGATCAATGTCCACCACAGCAGGAACCTTCCAAAGTGCTTTACCTCCACTCATATCTTTTAACAGGTGAAGATTCCCACAGGGGTAGTGCTGGGTCTGCATGTTCTCTACGTTTCTGGAAAAGTCTACCCAAGTTCCGTGCCACCACCAGCTGCTGAGAGCAAGCCTTCATTGTCAGCAGAAGAGGCATTAAAATAACTGTTATTCTATACCGGACTCTATAAGCATTATCTCCAGTCCTTACAATGATGCTGTAAGGTCATCACTATCCCATTTTACAAAAGAGTCGACTCAGCTCAGAGTGGCTAAGTCCCTTGCCCAAGGTCTCAGAGCTGGGACTTGAACTCAAGACTGTCCCAGTTCAATGTTTTCTGCCACATGTATTTGGTTAACATGCACTTTGAGTTCTCCCTCTGATATTCCATATAGTTGGCCTGGCTAAAGGATGAATGATAAACCCAAGAGAAAGGAAATCCTTCTATAAGAGGTGTCCTGGGTATGAGGTGGTACCTGGGAGCTCAGCTCAGGAGCAGGATAGGTGCCCGAGGAGGGGCAGGCAGAACTGCAGAAGGAACAGGAGACAAGGGGGCCTGGAAAATGACAGGGAACCAGCAAGGCAGGGGCAGGTAAGAGCCGGGGGAACAGGGCCAAGGAAAAAGAAACTTTACATGAGTAAATGTTAAATTTCCTGCCCTCATTAATCAAAATAACGTGATTTAAGACCAGTGACTCCCTAAGCTGCAGCCTGGCTGTTCTTAATCGTGTGCACCCCGCTTCTGCAACCAGAGATGTGGAAGGCAGAATCCAAAGACACCCCTCCCAGTAACTACCCCTATTTCTGTTCAGTTGCTTCAGCAGGGCCTTCAGAGGGCCTGGAGAGCTCAGCCGTGGGGTATGGTCCTTGACTCATTTTAATGAAGAAAAGATTTCCTCTAGGAACAAGGTTGTTTTTAATGAGCCATTTTCTGGCAGATTAAATTATTTTAGTAGTCACACCAAGTGTATTAATCCTTTACCATCTGTCATTGTGCCTCACCACAAATTCAAAAACACATTAAGGGAAAAAAAACAAAACACATGAAGAGCCTCATCACCCACCATCCCAGGGGAATCGTTAATTTGTTCACAGAAAATGAGGATTTAAACGTAGATACACGCTTGCCTCTCAGTGGGAATAAACATGCCCCATCAACAGGAATTAGAGGAACTGTGGATTTTTTTTCTCCCCCTTGAACCCAGCCCATTCCTTCATCAGTATCTTGTTACAAATTATCTGTGTTGATGGAGAGAGCTGGTGCCATTACAGTTATTTCTCTAACTTAGTTTTGATTCTTCTCATTTTTCCTATTTGAAAGTGATATGCCCATTGTAGAAAATTCTGAGAACATGAAGGTAAGGGAGTCTGAGTTTGAGGTATAAAGAAGAGAGAAAAAGTCTCCCAGGGTCCATCCTGCCGCTCAGGGTGATCGCCATGAACCTATGAGCCCCCAACTCTAAAGGGCCTGGCTCCCTGGGGAGGAGAGTGGCTGAAGACGGCTGATTGAGCAGCACCTAGAATCCCCCAGGACTCCAGGGCAGGATGGATGGCAGGCATGAACCTCATTCCTCGCCAAGGGCCCACTACACACCTGCCTGGTGGGAGACCCTTGCAAGGCTGCAACTGCCCTGCCCTCTACCCACCTCCTCCTCCCCAGGCCGGCTCCCGGGTGGGGAACCGCATGGGAAGGAGAGTGAGCACCCACTGAGCTACTCCTGAACCCGGCCGAGGTGGACACAGAGAACAGAGGGTGCTGCGGAAGATGGGAGGTTTCCTCCCAGCGTTTATAAGAGCAGCCCACCACCCCTCCACTGTGGCTCACCTCCTGGAGTATGAGGCCAGATTTTGAAACTGGATGCCCTCAGGGTGAGGACAGTAAGGAAGGGCAGCAGTCGGAAGGGAGGGAAGGAGGCTCCTTCCGCTCCGGCTGCTCACTTCTTGGGCCTTCCAGAGGGGGTGGCTGGGAGCTGGGGCTCCACCACCGAGGTGCCCAAGGGGATGGTGCCGACCCACGGCCAAGAGGGAGAGAAAGAGGGTGGCTGATGGTCAGGGGGACCTCAGATTGCTCCCCACAAACTCAGCTGACTCTGTTATTACTACATCCTTTGTTTACTTTGATGGAATTGTTTTCATTCTTGAGTACTTTTACCCTGAAGCAAGTAGAAACCGGAGAGGCGTGGTGTTTCAAATGGAAGGGGGAAAACGATAAAGCAAGTAGCAAACAACTTACCACGCATGTCACATCCCCCTGCCTCTCTTCAATGCACTGTGCGTTCACGCTGCAAGGGTTCAGTTCTGGATTCCTGCAGTTTCTTTCCATTTTGCATCCCCTCGTCTGATCACCAATGTACCCTGGTTTACAAGGCCCACAGCGATAAGATCCCTGTAAGGAGCAGAGCAAGACGGTGAGCCAGGGCCTCAGACCTGTGAGCAAAGGTACGGCGCGTGTGTCTATTTTTACATGTACTCGATGATGCCAGGATGAAGTGAGCCCCATGCCTGCCTCTGCTTATGTGTATGTCTTCTAACACTGTGTGAGTATTGGGGGAGACACTACCAGACTGGAAGCCACAGCAGGCCACGGAGACATGAA